ATTAATAGCTTAAATACATATGTGTTGTCTATTGGGCTTAAATTTTTATATTTAGGCCTCATGTTTTCCGTTATCTGACTGTGTTAATTTTCTTTTTTTTTCTTTTTTTTTTTTTTTGGCATGGCAGCCAATTATGAGATGTTTTAGGACTAGGATAATTTCAATTCTTATTTGAAATGAATTATTTTCTACAAAAATTAATGGAGGGGAAGAAACTTACTTTTTTAAAGTGACCACTCAATCTAAGTATTTTATTTGCCCTTCTCCACTGAGAACTATGCCCGGTTACTTAATGAAATCTCAAATTACCAAATAGAGTACACTCTCCAGGGTCCAGAAAGTCAATAAAATGCAATAATTTGCATTTCCTCTTCAAAAATTCAAAGAATAAATGTTTATTTTGGCATTTAAAATGCTCTCACAATCTCAATTTATTGTTCTTTAGAATAAAACAATGACCTGATGGCAAGACAGAGTAAATGCTTCAACAAAACCCAAGGAGTAATGTAGAGTCACTTTCCTGCCTGATTTACATGGAACAGAATACTGCGTGCCAGGACCATTGAGTTTTACCCTCCCAGTAGTGCATCTGAGAACAAATTATGATAATCTCAAAATCCTATTGATGCTCAAAGATATTTCATCAACTGAAAAAGAAAATTAGAGTAAAATGCAGAAGATTTTTTTTTTTTTTTTTTTTTACTACTTAGAGGAACTCAAGTTTATATGAATAGGCCTCATGTGGGGAGTCTTTTGAAGCTAGGGACTTCAAAGAAGATCACAGACTTCCAGTGGGTTAATCACTTAATGCAAGAGTGGGTAGACGGAATTACCACCATTCAGTCAAGCTAAACTTATCCTTTTCTTGGGAGATAGCAAGAAAATGCCCATCTTTTAGTTCCCAACAGTACTCTAGTTGAACACGTCTGTGAAGCTGCTCTGCTTACAAGTTATTTCATATAAGTCAAAATGGAAAGAAGTTCCAAATGACTACTAGTGCCATTTGATGCACCATTTCATTTAGGGGGCATTATCTTTCTATTTGCTGCAATTATTAGGTTTTGAGCATTAAAACACACCCATTCAACACGTAACAGATTACCAAAAAAGAGCAGCAAGATTATACAAAGTTAGATTAGAAAGAAGGTTGGACTTTCTGATTACAAAAACAATTTTAGAAAGAACATTGTACACTGATGCTCTAAAATGTAGAAGTCATCTGAAATGACCAGAAACGAGTAGGAGATGGAAGGGTGGGTATGATGTCCACCAAACTCACGTCCAATGATCATCAGTGAATGTAAAAAATCACTTCATATGATCATAAAGGAACAGGTAGAAAATCAATAAGCCTGTGAAAAATAATTCCATATGTTCCAGCCTCATAGTTTAGTAAAAGGTTATCAAGTAACAATAATAACAAAACGTAATCAGAAAGCCCTTAGAGAAGGTCTTGAATGGCGACCAGGTGTATGGGGCCAGACTGTGGGTTGACGCCATGTTTTTTATTTACAAGGACGATTAGGTGACACCTGCGGTCAGATGATCTTCAGGAAGGATGAAATTGAGTTTATTTATGATCATAAAGACCTGTTGATAATGACTAATAAAAGGAAAGACAGAAGCATTCTTTAAACATATTACTGCTACATCTGTAATGGAAATGGAATTGTAATAAAAATGGCAGTTGTGTCACAATGTAATATGCAATCAAAAAGTATATAGATACTATCACTTTTACATATTTACATTATAAATGTTTATAGCTTATGATGTGTAACTGTATTACGTTATGTGTAGAATATAAGTGAAAATTAAAATGGAAATAGAGTAGGAGTCCTTTGTCTGATACTCTATAAAATGTTTTTTTTGTTGTTGTTAGGGGAAAGGCTAAGCTATAGTAACAAAGACCCTCCTTCACCCCCACAAAAAAATTCAGTAGCTTAAGTAAGATAAAAGTTTGTGTATCTCCTACATAATAATCCAGATGTGAGTAGTCCTGGCTAGCTGAATGGCTCTTCTCCATGAAGTCATTCAGGGGCCCAGGTTTCTTCCATCCTGTTGCCCCAGGTATTCTCCTTATTTGAAAACTCAAAGCTGAGCCCCCACAACATCTATGTTCCAGCCTGTAAGAAAGTAAAGAGACAACCTAGCACATTTTGACTTAGCTTTTAAGAAAATGACCTGGAATCTACACACATCACTTCTGCTTATACCTCATTAATGCAAACTCAATGTCATGGCCACACCTAGAATACTAGTTTGTAGAGTTCCACAGCAAAGTACCACAGACTGAATGACTTCAATAACAGAAATTTATTTTCTCACAATTCTAGAGGCTAGACATTTGAGATCATAGTATTTGCAGGGTTTATTTTTTCTGAAGCCTCTCTCCTTGGCCTAGAGATGTCTGTCTTGTTCCTTCATCTTCACATGGTCTTTCCTCTGTGTGTGTCTGTGTCCTAGTATCCTTATAAGAACACCAGTTATATTGGATTAGGACTCATGCTAATGACCGCATTTAATCTTAATTACCTCTTTAAAGACCCTATCTGCAAAAACAGTCACATTCTAAGGGAATGGGGATCAGGACTTCAACATGTGAATTTTGTGGGGACACAATTTAGTCCATAAAACCTAACATCAAAGGAGGCTGAGAAATTAGTTAGTAGTTGAATGGTCACTCAGCTAGATAAAACTTCCATTCCATTGCTAAAAGGAGGAAGACAAAACTAAACATTGGGGGATATTTAGCAGCATCTGTCACATTATTACAGAATTAATAAGTACAAGACCAAGTTTATATCCAGTAAAAACTCACCAACCAAAAAAAAAAAAAAAAAAATGGGAAGGATATGTAATTGATAATAAAACCCAAAAGCAATGAAGGGGATTGAACAAAAGAGAATGGCAGACGAAATCCCCAGGTCAGGGCCTTGGAGGAAGAAATTTTTTGCTGGGCCCCAAGAAAGAAATCCAGCTTCAATACAAAGCCCTGCTTAAAAGAAACTCAATTCCAGCAATAGTGAGACCATTTCAAGTATGAAGAGTGGGACTTAAGACAAATGTAACATCTGGATACATTTCTTAAGCATTAGGAGGCACAGGTCTCAGGATGTTAAGCCAGTCTCCTCTGATCACCACAAAAAGTGAATGTTATTTGAGTCATCCATTAAAGGAATTTGATCAATTCTATTACTCCCTTTCTAAATGAATGTTTGATCATGCATACATGAGATGTTCCCAATCCAGAAATTTTTTAAAAGAGTTTTACTAAATGAAATTAAATCTCTGTGCTTTGTGTAAATTTGCCATATGAGCAAACTATAGTGATATGCTGTTTATAAAAATTATTGGGTGAACATAAGAGAACGAAAGATGGTAAATAAAACTCCTTTCATGTGTTAATCAGAAGAGTTTCTAGCTAAATATTGGTGTTTTATTTTCGTTTCTTAATAAATGCCCAAATGTGTTCAATAGATTTTTAAAAATTCCTCCACAAGGATAAATCTGAAGTATAATTCAGAAACCTGCACATAACCTTCAATTTCTTTTCCTAAGTCCCATGGCAATTCTATACCGTGAAACCATAAACATGTGAGCCGAGTTACAAATTGTTAATTTACGAAATTTATTTGGATGGCTATTTGACAGTTTCTTTCTGCTGTGACTCATGTTTGAGTACATGCCAGGAGCACCCTTTGCCTTTTACTTTACACATACAGAAAGAAAATGGGAGCATAAGGCACTTTTCCTAAGAAATATTGTGATTAAAAAATAGTTATACAGCAAAAAAACAGTTGCAAACACATAGTATCATTCATTGCTAATGAGTTAAAAGGATACCACAGTGCACATATAAATCACTATACAGTATCTTGCAGTTTATTTAAATTTATTGTGCCTCATTATAACTGAGCTATGCACCTTTAGGTCTGAGTTGATTAGGAATGCGATAGCTCAGAATAGCTTTTAATTCAGAGAAACATGGCCTGACCTTTACCATAATCCTGTGTGAAACACACTATAGTTTAGACATTAATAATGATGCAACCTTTTTTTCATACTGGTGAGATGCTACTTAAAATTTGGTATTATTAGTTAACAGGCCCAGGCCAATACATCAAAACCAAATTACCCTTCTGTGTATAACTACAGTACTTAATTCTGAGTTCTTCATCTCTCATAACTATTACTTCCTCTTTAAAAATGCTAAAAACCAAAATGTAATAGTGTCATGTCATAGCAATAAGTCACAGATACAAACCAAAGGCACTGCTCCTCACTCCCCATGGACTGCCACTGTATGCCGTTAAGGAGTTGTGCTTCATGATATACGTTTTAACAGCGAAGTCATTGCTTGTCTTTGACCTTTGTCTCTCAATTTAAGAATGCCATTTCTTTCAACCACCTTCCAGTAAGTCAACTAGCACAAATAATAGAATTTCCTTACCATTCTGGTTCACATGCAGCTGAAAATGCAAATTGCAGTTACAAATATTCAGTTTCTTTTAAAAAGTTATTTATATCATTTATCACTATAAATACAGCAAATCATAAAGACATTTACAGAGTTTAATGGATCTAATAATTCACCAAAGCTCATAATAGAAAACAGTGTTATCCTATGCCACCCATTCTCACCCCTTTTCACTCTTGCTTGTCATTCCCCAGAGGAAACTTACTTTGGTTGTCTTCAATGTTTCCCCTGATATTTAGCTTATAATCCCAAATAACATGTTTATATTATTAAATCTCAATTTTTAAATTTTGAATATTATATATTGACTTTCTATAATAAGAAAAATAAGATATAGCCCTTTTGGAACACTGTTGCTTCAAAACTTAAGATTTCCCTTTGTTGTCATTCCTGGGGATTTCCTCTGCCATTCCCCTGTGTTCAATCGCCTTTCAGAGAATCCCTTTGAGTTAGAATTTCCCTCGTCTCTGAAAAACAGAAAAACAACACAAAGGATTAAATGAAACAGGAGTCTACTTACCACGGACAAAAGAATGGTCCTGCAGTAGAACAGAAACTATATTGTTAGGAAATAAGGACCCTAAGATTGCGTTGCTTTGCTGTGCTTGCTTTTTATTTCCTGGGACACCAGGTTGTGATACAAGATGTCTGACGGAGCTTCAGCCATTACGTGTATACTACGGAAAAGAAAGGAAAAGCAAGTCAAACTCACTACCTCAAATGGCCATGCCTACCTTCAAGGAAGGCATGATAGGAAATTTGTCTTTATTTCAGTTATTCTGTTGCTAAGAAAGGAGAGTGGGCAATATTGTGAGATACTGTATCATACTATATCATCTTTCTAGATTATTTTAGTGCAGCATATGTTGAAAGAGCTTTGGGAGAAAAGGTAAGCTAGAGATATATTTCTTGAAGCATTGCCTCTTAAAATGTCTTTATTTTCACACTCACATCTGATTGAAAGATTGGCTGGGATTTAAAACCAGATTGTATATGTTTTGTAGAATTTTAAAAGGTATTTCATTGCCTTCTAGCTTCCAGAATTTATTGCAGGAAGTCCAAGTCTGTTCTGATTCTTAATTCTTTGTTTGTGATCTGTTTGTACCCCTGTCTATGAGCTTTTAGTATAATCTCTTCACTTCAGTATTCTACAGTGCCACAATAACATGTTTTATGTGGGTTTTGTTCCATTCATTCCTTATACTCAACACTGGGAGGGTCTTTCAGTCTCGAAATTAAAGTCCCCCGTCCCACCCCTTCCCGCCCCCGCCACTCCTTTCTGGGAAATGTTTTTACCTTATTTCTTTGACATTTTTCTCACTCCTTTTTATCTCCTTTCTCTCCTTTTGGAAGCTAGACTCTAGAATCGGTCAAAATGAATTGTATTGTGTTGGAGTAGAAAGCAATCCCAAATATCAGTAGTTTAATACAGCAGATGTTTATTTCTCACTGATACTATGAGTCAAAGAGACTAGCTAAGTACTCAGCTCCACATCATTCTTACTCAGGGGCTAAGGCAACTGAGTCTCCACCCTCCGAAGGATCTCAGGACTGAAGTAGGGGAAAGGCAACATGGCAAGCCACACTCTGGCTACTTCAAAACTTCCACCCAGAAAGAACTCATGTCACTTTTACTCACGTTTTATCAGTCACAGAAAGTCACAGGCCCATGCTTATCTGCAAAAAAGAGAGGAGGTGCAGTCACACTAGGTCCCTGAAAGGACAGCCAGAATCTTGGTTAACAGCCTTAGGAACTGTAACAATTTCTTGGAAGGATACTCTAATTTACTTTTAATTTTCTCTCTTTTACTTATTATGGAGACTTAGTTTATAAGCAGTGAACTGTATAAAACTTAATTATATATCTTGATAAATGTTTGCATATGTAAACACTGTGTACCATAACCCATATCAAGATAAAAAATATTTCCAGCACCTCAAAGACTTCCTGCTGCCTTCTCTCAGTCAACATCTTCATAGGTAACCAACAATTTGACCTCTATCATCAAAGAATTATGCCTGTTTTTGAACAATATACAAATAGAATCATGTATTATGTACTCTTTTGTGTCTGATTTCTTTCATTCAACCACATATCTGTGAGATTCATCATTAATATTGCAAATAACAGAATGGTTTTCTTTATCATAGTGTAGCAATTTGGTTATATGAAAACAGCACTCTTCATCCATTGAACTGTTTTGGGGCATTTATGTTATTTCTTGGGCTATTATGAATCAAACTGCTATAAACTTTACTGTACATGTCTTTTGGTGAATATATGTCCTCATTTTCACTGCCTTTTCATTCAGGGTAGATCATAGGGCATGTAGGTATAGGAGTACTATCAGTTTTCCAAAGCAAGTGTACCAATTTGTAACACCTACCAACAGTACGTAAGAATTCTGTTCCTCCCTTTCTCCTCCCTGATGCTTTCATTTTCACATTCTGGCAAGTGTGTAGTGATATATCACTGTGGCTTTAAATTTCATTTCCTTCGGGACTAATGAAGTTGAGCAATTTTTCATAGGCCTACTAGCTAGTAGTCATCAGGGAAATGACTCTAGGTGGGAAGGGGCTTATCAGCTGAAGAGCCTCCGTGTGCAGGATTACTGGAGAGCAATATCTAAATAGCTCTCCTCTTGGTTCTTCCAGTTTCTCCCTGAGGAACCTTCCAGTCTACACACTAGGAGATGTAAACCTAGGAGTTGAGTACAGATCCACATTGTTCAAACGTGCCCATTGTTCCTGAACCCAGAGTCCTTCTGGTTTGTCCTCCCAGAAAAATAAACATCCAGACCTCTGCTGGAGTTGAGGAGTGAGTCTTCTGCTGGTGATTTGGAGTGCAGGTAGAGTAAGTGGCTTAATTGCTTTGTGTTACCAGCTTTCAACATTCTTCCTGCTTTTGCCCTGCCACCATCATATCCAACATGCAGCTGTTGCCAATCCCCAAATCCTTGGAATAAATCAAATTGTTTGTTGATTGATCCTCAGCATGAAAACAGAACTAAAATTCAGATTTTTCTAGTCTTAGTGAGTTGCCACTTGTCCATTTTACATATACTTTAAAATATTATGTTGATCTTTAAAATATTATGTTGATCTATTACATGATGTTTTCTGTCCTCTTGTCCTTGACTATTTTCTTTTGCCTTATATATTTCTTAATATTTTTTATTTATGCCATCATTTTAATGGTATTTGAGTAAAAAAACATGTGTTCTACATTTGGATTTCTAATTTGGATTCATTCTTGCCTCTTTGGCACAAGATAAATTACATTCTAGAAGTAAAACAAAGCAACAAATGAGCTGTTTCTCTTAAATTGAAAGTGAAAAATAATTAATCTTCTTAGCTAAAGTTCAACAAGTCTTAGTTTATCTATTTTTTCTTTCACACTCATAAAGCATTTTATATAGGTTTTGAGAAAACCAACTCTCAAATTCACTAAATTAAAAATATGACTTTTTAAATGAAAAGTTGGCAAAATATTAGATTATATTGAAAAAATCATTTTTCTAAACTGCTAAAAATATCATTTTTCTAAGTCTCTTCAAATTTGGAGAGTGGTCCTTAAAATTTCTTTTTTAAAAATAGATAGTGTTATTTATTGCCATTAGATTAAACAAGCCAGTCTAGCTGGTCAGGCAATTTTCTCCTTTCACCACTACTCCATGTTTTATCCCTTTTGAGAATGTGCCCTTAAATGGAAATTTCCCTCTACAAATTGACAAGAAAATGTCTTAAGACTAATATCAAATAATAGCTGAATTCTCCAACTAGCACCACCATTTGAGATCCATTTTTATTAAGATACAAATATAAAACAGAAAAAAATAATATAAAACCAGTGGAAATACCATGTATTATTTAAGCCATGGTTTACAAATGGAGTAAGAGGGGAAGAGGAAGGCTGATAGAGAAATTCATTTGCTACTTACAAAAAAAATCTGTCATTTCAGAAATGTACTCCACTACTTCCTCTCTCAGTCACCTCATTATATGAAAAAAAAATTAGTTGCAAATAAGTAACTTTTTCTAGATTACACGACCATTTGAACCAGAGTAAAAATAATCTTTTCTAGAAATCCCAACCAAGTGTATTAGTTTTGTTTTTTCCATTTATGACGTATGAACATTTAACATCAATTTTTTCCTCTTTTTCAATTGCTTTGACTAGTCCTCCCAGAAAAATGTTAAACAGCAGTAATTTGGATAGCTATGTCTTGTACTTGACTTCAGTAGAAATGTTCCTTGTATTACCGTATCAGTCATAATTCTGAGTTTTGGGTTGAGATGTACATGTTTTACATGCTATCAACTTACTATTACTTTATAAAGAACAGATACACTAAAAGCCCAGACTTTACCACCACACAATATAACCATTTAACAAAACTGTACTTATATCCCTTAAGTTTATATAAATAAAAAGTAAATAAAGAACAAATAAATAATAATTTTAATTAATAATTGATGCTGAATTTTTAGCATCTATGAAAAATGATAACATGATTCATCTTCATATGTTAAATTATATTAATGGAATTTCTACTCTTAAACCATCTTTGTATTTCTGCTGTGGATCCCAGATGGCTGTTTTTTCATGTATTTTTAACATGCTTCTGCATTCTATTTGCTAATACTTTATTAAGGCTATTTTAATTGACATTTATTAGTTCATTATATTCTTTTCTGTGCTATTTTTTCTGGTTTTCTTATCAAGGCTTTGCAGACTTTGTCAAAGAAATTTGAAGTAGTATTTGCTTTAAGTCTGTTTGGAAGATTTTGTTTATTTTTTTGAGATAAAAATTCTACATTTAAAAAAATTTTTTAAATTTCCATTGGTTATTGGGAAAAAGGTAGTGTTTGGCTACATGAGTAAGTTCTTTAGTGGTGATTTGTGAGGTTTTGGTGCACCCATCACCTGAGCAGTATACACTACACTCAATTTGTAGTCTTTTATACCTCACTCCCTTCCCACCTTACCCCCGAGTCCCCAAAGTCCATTGTGTTATTCTTATGCCTTCGCATCCTCACAGTTCAGCTCCTGTGTATGAGCGAGAACATAAGATGTTTGATTTTCCATTCCTGAGTTACTTCACTTAGAATAATAGTCTCCAGTCTCATCCAGGTTGCTGCAAATGCCATTAATTCATTCCTTTTTATGGCCAAGTCGTATTCCATCATATATGAATACTAGCTTCTTTATCCACTCATTGATAATGGGCATTGGGTTGGTTCCACATTTTTGTAATTGTGAATTGTGCTGCTATAAACATGTGTGCAAGTATCTTTTTTGTATAACAACTTCATTTACTCTGGGTAGATATCCAGTAGTGGGATTACTGGATCAAATGGTAGTTCTACTTTTAGTTCTTTAAGGAATCTCCACATTGTTTTCTATAGTGGTTGTACCATTGCCACCAGCAGTATAAAGTGTTCCCCGTTCACTGCATCCATGCCAACATCTACTATTTTTTGATTATAGCCATTCTTGTAGGAGTAAGATGGTATTGTACTGTGATTTTGATTTGCATTTCCCTGATCATTAGTGATGTTGAGCATTTTTTCATAAGTTTTTTGGCCATTTGTAGATCTTCTTTTGAGAATTGTCTATTCATGTCCTTAGCCCACTTTCTAATGGGATTATTTGTTTTTTCTTGCTAATCTGTTTGAGTTCATTGTAGATTCTGGATGTTAATCTTTGGTTAGATGTATAGGTTTTGAAGATTTCCTCCCACTCTGTGGGCTGTATGTTTACTTTGCTGACTGTTTCTTTTGCTGTGCAAAAGCGCTTTAGTTTAATTAAGTCCCGGCTACTTAATTTTGTTTTCATTGCATTTGCTTTTGGGTTCTTGATCATGAAATCCTTGCCTAAGCCAGTGTCTACAAAGGTTTTTTGGCTGGGCGCAGTGGCTCACACCTGTAATCCCAGCACTTAGGGAGGCTGAGATGGGCGGATCACGAGGTCAGGAGATCGAGATCATCCTGGCTAATGTGGTGAAACCCCATCTCTACTAAAAATACAAAAAATTAGCCAGGTATCGTGGTGGGCCCCTGTAGTCCCAGCTACTCGGGAGGCTGAGGCAGGAGAACCTGGGAAGCAGAGCTTGTAGTGAGCCAAGATCACACCACTGAACTCCAGTCTGGGCGACAGAGCGAGACTTTGTCTCAAAAAATAAAATAAAATAAAATTAAATTAAATTAAATTAAATAGAAAGGTTTTTCTGACGTTATCTTCTAGAATCCACCATGATCGAGTGGGTTTCATACCAGGGTTGCAGGGATGGTTTAACATATACAAGTCAATAAATGTGATATACCACATAAACAGAATTAAAAACAAAAATCACATTATCATGTCAATAGACACAGTAAAAGCATTAGACAAAATCCAGTATCCTTTTATGGTTAAAACTCTCAGCAAAATTGGCATACAAGGGACATACCTCAATATAATAAAGGCCATCTATGACAAACCCACCGCCAACATAATACTGAATGGGGAAAAGTTGAAAGCATTCTCTCTGAGAACTGGAACAAGAGGATGTCCACTTTCACCACTTCTCTTCAACATAGTACTGGAAGTCCTAGCCAGAACAATCAGACAAAGAAAGAAATAAAGGGCATCCAAATCAGTAAAGAGGAAGTCAAACTGTCACTGTTTGCTGATG